AAAAAAGGAATGCGGAAACGAGTTGTACCTCAATAGGTGTTAGCGTGTGTTTGGCGGTCTGCAGGACCGTGAACATGGAGTGAGCCACCGAGAAGGCGTGAGACCAGTTGTGGTACGGGACGCTCCTGTAGTTCTTCCTCACCGTCAGCGTGAAGCGCATCAGATCCTCAATGTCAAACCTGTGCACAGTCAACATAAGGCGCAGACTTTAAAAAAAACAACAACAAGACGGTTAAACCAGAGTGTTAAAACAGGCTGTTAGACCATGCAGACTGTTAAACCTGACTGTTAAGCCCAGACTGTTCAACCATACTGTTAAACCAGACTATTAAACCAGACTGTGAAAACAGACTGTCAAACCAGACTGTTAAACTGATAGTTAAACCCGTCAAACGCAAATGGATGGCTATTTCGTATTCACATTTGTTGTGGGACTAAGCAAGAAAATTGCAAAACAGGGAGCACATTTTTTTCCGTATTATCTTCTTTTATAATAATGACTTAAATTGAGTGAACATTTTTTGTTTAGATATTAAAGGTGAAGAAATGGGTTTGAAAATAAAGTGGCTGCCAGGAGGTTAATTGAGCCATTGACCAACGGATTATCGGCACGACGCAGTAACGCATTGAAATATAACAATGTACTCCAAGTCTGAGCTGTGTACCAATGTTCAGCTCTCATAAGCTAACCGAGACCATAAAAAGTGTAAACAAAAAAAATAAATAAAAAATAGTGAAACCAGGCAAACATGGTTTTTGTGAATATTAGAAAATATGTTCAAAAATATACAGGTACTTTAAAACGAAAGATTATAAACGTGTGGGGGTGGCATTTTCCTGATGTATTCGTAACACTTTCAAAAGAGACGGTACGGTGGGAACAGTTCTAGGTTTGTATTCTCCACATCTCATCAAGTTTATGCACTAACCACACATGGAAAAAAAAAAAGTTATTTTCTACCCTGAATCGATAGAAATATGTAAAATTGTTTTATACATTGAAATTTTGAACCCTACGAAGTCATCTCTGCCGAATCATCTCTGCTGACACAAGTGAACATATACTTACTTGATTTCAGCAAAGTGCCGACACAAGTGAACATATACTTACTTGATTTCAGCAAAGTGCCGACACAAGTGAACACATACTTACTTGATTTCAGCAAAGTGCCGACACAAGTGAACACATACTTACTTGATTTCAGCAAAGTGCCGACACACGTGAACATATACTTACTTGATTTCAGCAAAGTGCCGACACAAGTGAACATATACTTACTTGATTTCAGCAAAGAGAGTCTTGAACATGTATAAACAGTGCATAGGCTTCTCGTCGTCCATGACAGCCCAAGGGGAGAAATCATATCTGAGGAAGTGGGGGGAGAAGACAAGAAAGGCATTAGGGTTAGGCCTGTTTTAGTACGAGCTCATCATATGAGCTACAGGATCAATCAGACATTCTGTACCAGGAGCTATTTTAAGACTCATTCCAGTTTTTTTTTTGTTTTTTTTTTTTGTTTGTTTAAAGGACGAGGTTGCCAGAAAAAAAAAANGGGGGGGGGGGGGGGGGTGAGCCGTACCGTGTGATGTTCCGAATAGTCTTTGGGATTGTTTTGGACTTGAGATTGTTCACCTCCTCGGGGGTGGCCTGACTGTGGTAGGACAGCACGTCGAGGGCCACCTTGTATTTTTGTTCTGATCGCCGGATTTTTTCGTACAACTATCGGATAAAAAACAACAACAAAACAATAATGAACAATGGTACACCATCCGGGGGAAATGTTTCGGTTTTTTTTTTTAGGGGCCGGGAAAGATTTCCTTGACGGTCGTAATTATGTATTAACTATACCCCAAAAAAAAAAAAAGAAAAGTATAGCCTTGCTTTGAATGCATGTTCAGAATTTTGAGAACCCGTTTGATATAAACGAACAATTCCGATCAAGAATATTTAGACACCCACATTCGATTTAATGATACATTTTTAACAGCGGCGTAGGCATTAGTATTTTTTTTTTTTAATTTTTTTTTTTTGTAAATATAAAAAAAGGACAGAATGAGAAAAAGGAGTCAGTCTAACCTTGGCATGATGCAAAGCCAGACCACAGTAAATGGCGAAAGTTTCGAAGGCTTGCTCGTCGGCTTTGGTAAAAGTCCCGTTCCGTTTGTTCACCATCTGCACCACGCCAATGACCCTAGGGATTGAAAAGGTCAGTCTTTTAAAATGGTCTTCTCAATCTGCGGGTTAAAACTGATTTAGTGTAAGTCGTTGTCTTTCTTTCTATACACTAACAAAATCAGAATAAGTAAAATCACACAATTAGGTTCAGAACTCTGATAAATAATCAGCAATTTCGTTTAAAAAAAAAAAATAAACTTCATCTCTGTCAAAGCCTGTATTTCTATAATAGAAAAGAATAAATGGTGTAAGGTTTACTTCTTGCCGAGAACAAAAGGTGTCATGTTTATTTTTGTGTAGAAAAGCCTCTCCACCATAAATGATAAAAAGTCTTTCAGAATATGATTCTAAGATGAACGTCAGTTAAATGGTGTCCTGAAGTAAACATAATTCAATCAGTCCTACCAGGACAACACCTCATTGGTCTTTCAAAAACAGATTGCCAGGTGGATTACTCAAATAAGGGAAGCAGCCTGACACCAGTTGCCAAAATCAACTTAAATGATAACACTTAAAGACATAGTGGAGGTGCGATGCGCATTTCTCGTACCGCCTAGAAAAAAGTGCCAGGACAACCGATTTATTCTCGGGGGATAAAAAAAAAAAGATCCCACCTCTGAGACTCGGCCAACTTACACGCCTCTGATGAAGATGGGCATGCACAGAATGGTCTTAGTCTTGTAACCCGTGCACACGTCGACTTCCGGGTTGAACCGTGGGTCTTGGTAGGCGTCCTTGATGTTGAGCACCTTGCCCGTGCTGGCCACGTACCNGGGGGTGGGGGGGGGGGGGGGCGGGGCATGCCACGGTGATAGACAGTGCATGGAACATGCATGTTTCGTTAAAATTTAAAGCGAGTTTTATTTTTAAAATATTACCGTAACGTGATTTCTATCATGAAATCCTTTATATTTTAATTAATTGCTGGTAACGGTTTCTTTTCTTTAGACATCGTTTAAAACAAATTGAGATCCATTTGGTAACAACTTTCAAGACAGCTTCGGTGAAGTCGGAAATAACACAACACCGTCACTATTTAGCTTTAGATATGCTTAAGGGCAATACAAAATTCTATAATTTTCTGTCAACTCTATGCTGAGAGTAGTCTATTTTAATTTTGATCTGCAATGCAAATAAATCTGGATTTTTAAAAATTATACCTTTTTACAACAGTTTGTTTCCTTTGATGCATAAAAATGTGGATCAAATGACAAGAAAGAAGACATTTAAAAACAGTAATTAAAAAGCAACAACATTTGTTATAAAATAGATAAAAACGTAAATAATTAATTGATTGAGGAAACATATACAATTGTTAATATCAAGTCAGTAAGTGTATATATATATATATTGGTTTATTATGTTAAATTAGTTGTTTAAGTTTTTAAACACCACGCTAGCCTCAATTTGTAAGAGAAAAAAAAAGCTATCCTAGGACATGTGATGTTACAAATCAGCACGGATTTTTATATTTTGAAGGCATGAACCCCCTTTTTTTTTAAATTATAAGGCTCAATGTACATTTTATTTAAATATAATTTCATTTACGACGAGAATTACATGAATATGGAGTAAATATTGACTGCCGTAGTTTTTTGCATACGAATGCCTCAAATAAACCAAACCGAGGAATTAATATTTAAGTATTTCTGGTGTAGCAACAGTAATAACATATATATATATATATATGCTAGAATTAATCAACTAGTAACTCCAGAATATCAACACGGAATTATGAGTGTTTAATTCTTAAAGGAAAAAAAAAAATAACTTAGAGAATTTTTTTTTAATAATAAAAATTTAGTTTGATATTTTGAGAGAAGACAATTCTACTTAAGGTGCATGCGTAAATTAAACAGCTAATTGTGCAAAATGGGTAAGAGACTTAATTGGAAAAAAAAAACACAGCTTCTTTTGTGGTTACTTTGAAATAAGAAAAAAAAAATAGAAGTTTGTTTAAAAAAAACAAAAAAACTAGGCCATTCAATAAAAACACAGTGATGTACACAAAAATGACCCATCATAGCAATATGTTTTTCATCGCCGAGCCTGTTCTTATGGGAACAAAATACAACAATAAAAAGTCAACGTGGCATGAAGAAAAAAGCGGTGCATTTATTGAGGAAAGCCGATACATCTGTAAAAAGCAGATAACAAAAGTGTTTACAAGATGTCGGATAAATAACAGCACACATTGAAAAGAAAACAACTCTTGGTAACACAGTGCATGACGATTGTTGCTTTGAATATTAACACATAAAAAAGATCAATACTCTGTTATTCGCAAAAGTTATCAAATGAAAAAAAAACTAAATGACTAAGGTGCAATGTTAGACAAAAACAAATATACCTTTGATTTAGAGTTTTTTTCCAGAAAACAAATATACCTTTAATTTAGATGTTATTTCAGGAAACAAATATACCATTGATTTAGAGGTTATTTCAGGAAACAAATATACCATTGATTTAGAGGTTATTTCAGAAAAAAAATATACCATTGATGTAGAGGTTATTTCAGAAAAGATAATCTTAATGTTAGAACTCGTTAAACAAGAAAAAACCCACTGAAAATGTTAGACATTCAGTTACTACACCAAACGGTCAGCCGTCGACTACATTGTTAAAAGAAGCCACCTACGTTGTGGACTACATAAACAAAAAGCCACCCATGCGATTCCCCGAACCTGATGTCTTCCTGCTGCCAGCTGTGCCTCTTCTTGAAGATCTCTCTCAGTTTCGCGCTGGCCTCGGCCGAGGAGTCCTGCAGGTCAACCTCGTTGTCCGAGCCGCTCTTGGACGTGCCGGCCTTCGCCTGCAGCATGTTGAACTCGTCCAGGGAGTAACCGTCGTCGAATATCCGGGCGTAGAGTTCGTTGGACCGGGTGTCCAGCAGAAACAGGGATGTGCGGTCCGCGTGCACGAGGGCCTTGGCGAAGCTCTACACAGCAAAGACACAAGGGGGGTTGTTTTGAGGGCTTAAAAATCCGTTGACATTACTGAACCAAGATCTCGTCCCTGTCAGTTCCATTCAGACGCCCCAACGTTTTGTTTTTTTTTTTTTTTTTACTGCAGGACATTATTTATTTAAAAAAAAAAATATTAATTTTTTTATTTTTAAAAGGCTAGGAAATACAGACAAAAAAGTAGACCAATTGAAATAGATGCACTGTGTCTAAATCGGTCGACGCAAAAGCTCACCGCTGTATAGATGATGCTATGACAAAATAAAAACAGACATCTTTTCTCTGGCAGCAAATATGAAAAGATTAATGGTGAAGAGCAATATATATTTTTATGTAGGCATGCAGGTGTAAATAATGGGTGGGTTCAAAATAAGACTTGCACTTGCAATAAATTATTGCTTTTTAATAGTCTTTAATTTTGGCCTAAGGGGTCGGTAGTGTGAGGGAGGCGTGCGTCTTAAGTTGGTGTCTGGGGGGGGGGTGTCCATGTTCCCAAGAGCATCTGTTCTTTAAAAAGGAAAACAAAATTCATTCAAGAAATTCTTATCATGATGACGTGGTAGACGTGTTCGATCAGCAAACTCCTTACCAAAAGTAAATCATTGGACACTATAATTGCGGAATGATATTGTCAGCTAATTTATATTGGCTTGAACTTATTGAAAAGCAACACGTTATTTTAACCCTTGTCCCGAATCAAGCCCCCCCCCCAATTATATCGACTATATCAAAGAAATTGGGAAGTCAGCGTAGTATTTTGGCAGTCAATAGCCCCTTTGGACACTATAATTGCGGAATGATATTGTCAGCTATTTTATATTGGCTTGAAATTATTGAAAAGAAACACGTTATTTTAACCCTTGGCCCGAATCAAGCCCCCCCCCCCAATTATATCGACTATATCAAAGAAATTGGGAAGTCAGCGTAGTATTTTGGCAGTCAATAGCCCCCCCCCCCTCTTTTTTTTCAAACGAGGTCACCTTCATATAACAAAAGTCTAAAGTTTCCAAAGAGCGTTTGATCTACACACCTGTATCAGAGTAGACAATCAGGAATTCAGGGTGGACAATCAGGAATTCAGGGTAGACAATCGGGCATTCAGGGTAGACAATCAGGCATTCAGAGCAGACAATCAGACATTCAGGGTAGACAATCGGGCATTCAGGGTAGACAATCAGGCATTCAAAGTAGACAATCAGGAATTCAGGGCAGACAATCAGGCATTCAGAGTAGACAATCAGGAATTCAGGGTAGACAATCGGGCATTCAGAGTAGACAATCAGGCATTCAGAGTAGACAATCAGGAATTCAGGGTAGACAATCAGGCATTCAGGGTAGACAATCAGGCATTCAGGGTAGACAATCAGGAATTCAGGGCAGACAATCAGGCATTCAGGGTAGACAATCAGGAATTCAGGGTAGACAATCGGGCATTCAGGGTAGACAATCAGGCATTCAGGGTAGACAATCGGGCATTCAGGGCAGACAATCAGGCATTCAGGGTAGACAATCGGGCATTCAGGGTAGACAATTGGGCATTCAGCATAAACAATTATTCTGAGAATCGTGTCATTAAACACTAGTCGGGGGAGGGAGACATAACACCTTTGATTTAATGACACCTTTCCTCGACACCTTTTCGCATGACACCGTTCTAGGACATATTTCCATGATAATATTTCATTGTGCAGACATGACCGCTTAGGAGGAATACCTCGATCAACGGATTTGAGAAGCATGGATCCGGGGAGTGGGGGAGGAGGGGGGGGGGGATAAAAATTGTATCCTCCGCGTTCACAATCGGATCGAAAGCCGGAGATGCGTAAACTCGTCCCGTTCGGTGACTTTGTTCGCACCACGTGATCACGTCTAGTTAAAATGATTACAAAAAAAAAAAAAAAAAACTTTCTGACTCCCTTGTAGCCGACAAGGTGTGTCTTCCAGATCTCATCCAGCGCACTGGCTAAGTAACGTAGGACAATCGCGCACCTGTGTTAATTACTCTTGATTTTACAACCCAATGTGTAAACAAACAAAAAAATGGCGACGCCAACAAGGTGAGTGTGGCTTCCTTAAAGTTTAGAACTCTTGTGGGTTTTAAGTTTCGCCTAAGGGGTTGGGGGTGTGAAGAAGGCATGCGTCTTTAGTTTGTGTCGGCATTGGGGGGGGGGTCTATATGTTTCCCGAGCATCTGTTCTTTAAAAATGGAGAGAAAAAAAAAGGGGGGGGGGTGAATGCGACATTTTATAACTATGCGCACCTAAGAAAATGTCGACTATAAGCTTGATTTGCTTGACAAGACTATCAACATGAACCCATAACAAAAATGAAGCTAAGGAACAGCTCTTCTTGTGTGAATGGCCGTCCGTGATTGAGATGTGCGCGAAATGTCTAAAAATAAACCAAGTACCACAGTGGCGTAGCTAGGGATTTGGGGGCCCGGGGGCCTTTGCCTCTTTGGGGGCCCCTGCATTTTGACATTCGACATTATTTAATGTAAAAAAAAATTCGGAAACTCCTTTGGGCCCCCCCCCCCTGAAGTAGGGGCCCGGGGGGACTTTCGATTTTGGATCCCCCTCCCCCTCCCCTAGCTACGCCACTGAAGTGCCATTATCCAATTTTAATCATTTTTTTTAAAAAGTTGGTTATTTTAAAACGGACACATGGGCGATGACGTAAGTGTGTACCTGACTTGGACAGAGAAAAGCACACTGTAGCCTCAAGACGAGGCGATACATTTGATACGTAGGATATTCTTGACGCTTGATACAATTGTTTTTCAAACACAAAATCATGGAAATAAACAGAGAACAGTATACATGGATTAAAGCAAAGCTAAGCGATAACAAGATGTTTGCAGTTCCATAAAAAATTATATTGTTCGTTTGTAGTTAGTTGGTTTTTTTTTGTTATTTTTTGTGTGTGTGTGTTGTTTTTTAAAGAAAGGAAACGCTAAGATCAACCACGTAGCCGAGTACCTGTATAATGCAGACAGTTGAATACCTGTATAATGCAGATAGCTGAGTACCTGTATAATGGAGACAGTTGAGTACCTGTATAAAGCAGATAGCTGAGTACCTGTATAATGCAGACAGTTGAGTACCTGTATAATGCAGATAGCTGAGTACCTGCATAATGCAGACAGTTGAGTACCTGCATAATGCAGAGAGCTGAGTACCTGCATAATGGAGATAGCTGAGTACCTGTATAATGCAGACAGTTGAGTACCTGCATAATGCAGAGAGCTGAGTACCTGCATAATGCAGATAGCTGAGTACCTGCATAATGCGGATAGCTGAGTACCTGTATAAAGCAGATAGCTGAGTACCTGTATAATGCAGACAGTTGAGTACCTGTATAATGCAGATAGCTGAGTACCTGCATAATGCAGACAGTTGAGTACCTGCCTAATGCAGAGAGCTGAGTACCTGCATAATGCAGATAGCTGAGTACTCGCTTGATGCAGTTAGCTGAGTACCTGCATAATGCGGATAGCTGAGTACCTGCGTAATGCAGATGATGGAGTACTCGCTTAATGCAGATAGCTGAGTACTCGCTTAATGCAGAAAGCTTAGTACTCGCTTAATGCAGTTAGATGAGTACTCGCTTAATGCAGAAAACGCGGTTCAAAATTGTTCCCTTGTTCAAAATAGATTAGAGAGATCCGAGCAGCGCAGGGGAAACAAACAATTTCACCCGAGAAACAACACAACAGCAAAGTAAACAACTCATTAGCAGCGGCAACAAAGCATTGGTAAGGGAAACAACTCAATGACGGGGGTGGGGATGGGGGTCCACAACACGTAGGTACGGAAATAAGCATCATACAACTCCCCCCCCCCCACCAATTCAATAGATTTCCGAAAAGAAAAACAAAGCAGGGATATAGATACATCTCCAGGTACCATCCAATGCCAGGCAATCATTAAGGGGGTCACTAACAAAAAATTGCAACACTCATCTGTTTAAAGCCGCTATATTCCTCATACTCAGTCATCAGCTGGTTTGTTTGTTTTTGGTGGTGTTTTTTTTTTTTTTCTTGGGGGGGGGGGGGGGAACAAAACAACAACACTCGATAATCTCTAAGAGTCTTTCAAAAAAAGCCCCAAGGTAAGCCAACTTCAGATTGCACGTGTTAAGAACGTGTTCATTGGCTACAAATGTGAACTCATAACAAAGTGGAAACATTGAACGTAATGAGAACAACAAAGGACATGATTCCAGGGCGTGTGCACGAACGTATAACAGCTGGCGAAATACAGACATATAAGATATATAAAACTATATTGTAACTTATTGTTCTTCATCAAATAAACGGTTAAATGGGGAGAATACACGGAGGAGGTAGGTGGGAGTGTACACAGAGGAGGTAGGTGGGAGTGTACACAGAGGAGGTTAGGCTGGAGTGTACACAGAGGAGGTGGGTGGGAGTGTGTACAGAGGAGGTAGGTGGGAGTGTACACAGAGGAGGTTAGGTGGGAGTGCACACAGAGGAGGTTAGGCTGGAGTGCACACAGAGGAGGTTAGGTGGGAGTGCACACAGAGGTTAGGTGGGAGCGTACACAGAGGAGATTGGTGGGAGTGCACACAGAGGAGGTTAGGTTGGAGTGTACACAGAGGAGGCGGGTGGGAGTGCATGTACACAGAGGAGGTATATGGGGTGTACACAGAAGAGGTGGGTGGGAGTGCATGTACACAGAGGAGGTTAGGTGGGAGTGTACACAGAGGAGCCAGCTAGACGTATAATAAAAGTAGCCACAAATGTCAAGCCATGATTGAAATGAAGCGCGGCGCAGGAGTTTGCAAAATGCATGCAAGCGAAGCAAAGAGAAGCATCGCTCCAATACAATAAAGCGAGAATGGAATGCTGGTTTCAAAACAAAAAAGTTAGAGCTGAAGCCAAAAAAAAAAAAAAAGCTAAGATCCCAAAAGCCGAAAGAAAAGAGGGGAAAAAAAATAATTGGAAATGCCAAACATTAAAAAAAAATAATGCATGAAAGCGAAGCAAAGAAAAGCATCGATCCAATACAATAAAGCGAGAATGAAATGCTGGTTTCAAAACAAAAAAGTTAGAGCTGAAGCCAAAAAAAAAAAAAAGCTAAGATCCCAAAAGCTGAAAGAAAAGAGGGGAAACAAAATAATTGGAAATTCCAAATATTAAAAGAAAAACGTAGCGATGATTTAACCTGATCTCTTCGTGGGGCTTGCGAGTCTCTGCGTACAAGTCCTTTGTACTACTACCCGTGTGGCCGACGTCGAAGATCCGAGCGTAGAGCTCACGCTTGTAATAGTCGACCAAAAACAGGGAGGCCCTGTCCGCGTTGACCAGACGTTGGGCAAAGTTCTACACATAGAAGAGGGTCAGTGGTAAGGTGAGGTGGGATTTCGGAACAGGGATCAAGGATTTAAAATAGAAAAAAAAAAAAAAAGGTTACTGGAAATTTGATCGAAAGAAATTTCGTCGACGGAAAATTGATCGACGGAAATTTGATCGATCGGAAACTTGGTCGCATATTTTTTTTCAGTTCACACTTTAAAATTTTCGTCAAATTTATTTTTGGACGCACTATACTATATAGTAAAACAAAATAATGCGTTCAAAAAGAAATTTGAAGCAAAATTTTAATGTGTAAACTGAAAAAAAAAGGATTGGACCACATTTCCGTTTGATCAAATTTCCGTCTATCAATTTTCCGTCAACGAAATTTCTTTCGATCAAATTTCCGGATACGAACAAAAATAAAAATGGATTGGAAACGTTTCTGTTGCTAGAAATTATTTTGTGGCGTTGAGTTCCAAGTGCACCTAATCTTTGAGTTCCAAGTGCACCTAATCTTTGAGTTCCAAGTGCACCTAATCTTTGAGTTCCAAGTGCACCTAATCTTTGAGTTCCAAGTGCACCTAATCTTTGAGTTCCAAATGAATCTAATCATTAAGTTCCACACACATTAAAACAACTAAAAAGAGTTAAAATAATCTAACATGCACAAATTATTATAATGACTAGTATTTTTGCATTGTATAGTTTCATTATAGGTATAGGTATTGAAGACATTTTAGTCAGTCTCCTATCATTAAATCGTGTTTCCTGATTGATATACCTTTGGAGGGGGGATCGTGGAGTCTCTTTTAGGACATTATGCTGTCTTTAAAAAAAAAAATAATCATTATTTTTGTTAAAAAATGTTTTGTTGGATGCTAATATTCTGTATCCCTAAATAAAAGCATTTCAAACTTTAAACTTTAAGCTTTTAAGATGGCCGCTGGTCGTTTGATTTCTTCCTATGAACTGAATGTTACAAGTTGCCCAAGGTTGGAGGTTGTGTTAAAATGTATTCGCCAGAAGCTGAACTGCGTATGCGGAAATTTGATCGAAAGAAATTTCGTCGACGGTAAATTTATCGACGTTAATTTGATCGAACGGAAATTTGGTCTAATCTTTCTTTTTTTTTCCTCAGTTTCTACTTGAAAATTTTGCTTTAAATTGCTTTTTGAACGCATTATTTTGTTTTACTACATAGTATAGTGCATTCAATAGGAAATGAAATGAAAAAAAAAAAGAAAAGATTCGACCAAATTTCCGTTCGATCAAATTTCCGTCGATCAATTTACTGTCGACGAAATTTCTTTCGATCAAATTTCCGGTAACCGCTGAACTGGACAAGATGCCGAAAACTGTTTAAGATGTCTTTGCGTTTAATCATGCCATCCTGTTTCTAGTGCTACTTAAAAGACATGAAAACCGCGTGGGTGTTAATTTAATGATTCTGCCAATACTTTTTAAAAAAAATAAAAAGATTGTAAATTAATTAGATACTGGAGTGTTATTTCTAAGAAAGAAAGAAACATATGCAATTCTAGGAATGGTGTTTTTAAACTTTAAATAGTATTAGAAAGTAAATATTTTGTGAGAGCAACAATTAATTTTTGAACAGATGTTTAGTTTAAAAAAAAAAAAAATAACCTGCAAACTAATTCGGATCTTTAAAGTACAAGCTGTGTACAAGCTGTGTACACACGAACATAAAATATAAATTTAAGAACTCTTAGAGCAAAAAAAAAAACAAACTAAACACTCACGATAATATGGATATAGGTCAGAGGTCAGTATATTATGATTATGTTCTACCGTGTTTTAGATAATATTAAACTACAACTTCACGTTCAAGAGCTAGCTTAACGAGTGTTAATTATATATATATATATATATATATGTATATATATATATGTATATATATATGTGTATATATATATATTAATATATATATTAATATATATATATATATATATATATATTAGATCCCATTTTTCTATCTTTGAGGGCCCGCAATCAGTTTATTGAACATTCCTGGCTCCTGGTTTGAATTCAGAGTTTGTATTCTCTGGGATGAGTTGCCGTCCCAGGCTACCGAGTCCTATCCACCCGGAGTGCTTATTTAATAGCGAGTTTGTTGAAATTAATGACAAGCACGATTAATAGGGTGCTTCATGGGGTTCAATAGAAAGCCCCAAAACATCCAATACAAATAATGCGCATTTGGGTTGCAAAAGTTCACTCGAAACGAATTTTACAAACAGTCCACATAAACAACACCTTATTCCCCCCCCCCCCCACAACCCAACCCCACCCCCCCCCAACTACCACATCCGAGCCACCTGCAAAAATACAACAACAAAAGCCGGGTTTAACCACAACATCAAAACCGTGCAAAGACACAGCAGGTAAATGAAGACACATAAGGAGCTTGCATTTTTGTTAAAAGCCAGATTGCAGGTGAGCACAATGAGACACGAATTGCACAGAAAAAAATAGTGAACGGCAACTTGGGAATGGGGCGCTAGTGATATCTTTGCAAAGACTTTGAGCAAACGGTAGGGAACTACAGTGAACTACCCGACATTACTCTGCCACGTTACTCCGGCACGTTACTTCGGCACATTACTCTGGCACATTGCTCTACAGCTTGCACGATGGCTAACTCACCATACGGCACGCATAAACAGTACCTGTAGTGACCTGGATTTCAAGGCTTTTTTTGGTCAAATGTTCTTATAAGGGCTAATAAATAATTCACAGGAATGTTTTAGAAAAACACTCGGTGAAACAGTCGGTGAAACGCCACAACAGAGGATGGCAAGGGGAACAAGGCCCAGGGCCAAATAGGATGAACTTTGCTGAAACTCATCTCTATTGTAAATGAAATTCATGGATATTCATCTACCTCTGAAGAAGGAAGACTCGTGGATTATTTTACAGCCCCACCCCCCACCCCCCCCAAAAAACCCACAAAAAAAACAAAGAAAAAAAAAACAACAACCAAAACAACAACAACAACAAAAAAAACGATCTTTTCTAGACAATATTCGAACTCGTACAGGAAAGGCCTAATTATTTCCCGATTTAAATCTGTTCGACGGTTAAGCTCACATTTCTTCTCTAACGATGTTCGAGTACCACGGGAGCTAAGAAACAGGGGAGCTAAAAATGACATTTTAATCACACCACACAAATCATGAATAAAGAATACACATTTTCCCCAGAGTTTTAAACGCTAACTTTGCCCCCCTTCCCTTTCCTCTCCCCCCCTTAGTTTTCCCCGCCTCCTTATTTCCAATTAGCGATATCCCCCCCCCCCCCTTGTTTTCCCCCCCCCCCTTTTTCCCAATAGCCATAACCCCCCCCCCCCCAATGACATCAAGAAGCACTTTACGCCACATCACCTACCATGATCTTCATGATGACAACATCCATACTGACGATGTCCTGAAACACAGACCTGTAGAAGATGATAAGATGATTAAGATGGAGTTAAAGGCGATGCTGCCAAAAAACAGTCCTGGAAATAAGGGGATAGAATTAACAAAAAAAACAACAACAACAAAAAACAAACAAAGTTGGTGAAATGTAACATTTTGAATAGGGTGGGGGTTGGTAGCATGTCAAACCTTGCGACGCCTCTAAATGCTTGTCGTTTTGATGACTTCCGCGGTGCTTAGAAAAAACAAACAATGTTTAATGCAAGCAAAACACGACGGATTGTGATAGGTGCATTGAAGACGTCGATGTTGCTATGTCTGGTTTGTGGGGGAGAGGGGGGGGGGTCTGCACAAAACTTATCAGTTGCAGCTTATGGGGAATTAACGACGTGTGTATAGGGACACAAGATTAAGGCCGCTAGTCCCCCCCCAGACCCATCCTGCATGCACACAAGACATTTATTGTTGATAACATTGAAAAAAGTCTCTTTTTTTTCCAACAACTGATAGTGTTGATGCAATTTTTAAAAAAAAATTAAAAAGCTATATTTATCTTTATAAAAGTGATCCCTAATACTGTTTTGGTGTCAGGCTACCATTCACTTGCAGTAGCAAAAAAATTTAATAAATTAAAAAAAAAAAAAAAAATAATATGTGTGGTGGGTTGTGTGGCGGGGGGGGGGATTTTGGGGTGGAGGGGGTATGTATCAAGACAGGATACACCAGCAACAATCCCCCTCCCCCCCCCAACCCCTACCCCAAACAATTTTTTTTTTCCTTATTGAAAATATATTCGAAATTAAGGACTCATACAACAAAGTTTCAAGTCATGATAGAACATCCTCTTATGCCCACAGTCGTGTGTGGGTTCCTTGGTTACATTAAGGAATAGAGAATAACGAGTGTGTAATGGGAGAGATATATCATATTGAGAAAGCAGGCGTCTGCCAAAAAAAAAAAGAAAGAAAAAAAGGCATGTGGGGTCCTAATGCAAATAGTCAGGAGATAAAAACTATAAATTGATTGGTTTCTTTGATGCAAAAAAAATAAATAATTATGTAGGGAATACTTTTTAAAAAAAAGTTTGAAGGTGGTTGACAACGAACGGCCACTGGCTACTCAACTCTTAAGTGGATGGAAGACATGATCCCTAGAAAGAGAGATGGAATAATGCAACACGAGCCCTAGAAAGAGAGATGGAATAATGCAACACGAACCCTAGAGAGAGAGAGATGGAATAATGCAACGTCGAGACAGCAAACGACTTACTTGGTCACCTCCAGAAGAAAGTCACTTAGCTTCCTCTGTCTGATCATCAGACTGTGTGTCTAGGGGGGAAAAAAGAAGGTGAAGATACCAGTCAATCTTGATGGCGTCAGCTACCGTGGTTCAGTAACGACAGTTGACAAACACAATTCTATGGTATTCGTAATGTTAGCTGAATCTTTCGACCCCCCCCCCCAAACCCCTTTTAAGTTTGCTCTTAGAAGAAATCCCAGAAAATTTTAGAAAAACAACTTGATATTAAGACACATTTCCCTTATCTGATGACATCATAGAGGTTTCATCGTCGTTATTAGTATAACAAATAATAATGTTATACTCACGTCAATGACGTTTAATACGCGTTATGGCTTCTAGCTAGGTAACTGCTGTATGGCTTCTAGCTAGGTAACTGCTTTATGGGGGGCAAATCATTAAGTAGGGTGCTGACTGAATCTGGGATTCTTTTGTCGTTAATAAAAATATGTGTGCCCAAAAATATATATTTTATTAATTTCAATACTTGTGTAACTAAATCTACCTGTAATTATTTTTATGATATATATATATATTTACACGAACATGAAAAAATAAAATAAACCTGCTCGCGAGACGCAAAATAAATCTAAATTGTAATGGTAAGGAAAACAAGCTGAATTGTGTGTATTTCATTTGACAGAATCGATAAGGACACGGGCCAAATTGCTAATTGGGTTTTAAAGAACATTATTATTACTAATACAATGAACGAAATGCTTGAAGAACATGCTATTGAGTTTAAGCTGTTCAGACTGTGGAGGAGTGCGGCAGTCAGGATCGTTTAGCGCACTTGGGGGTGGGGTGTGGGGTTGGGGGGAAATATCAAGTTTAGCGTTAGCTTATTAGCGACAGCTAATGTAATTTTTAATGAAATAGTTATGTGCACTACTGCTATAAATATGTAAAAAAAAACAACAAAAAAAAAAAACAACAAAAAAACAACCATAGCAAAAGATTGAGACGAATAAAACCAAATCATTTTCAACTAATTTTGTTTTATAAAAAAAGAATAAAAAAATAGAAAGATAATATAATTTATATTGTTAGCAAATAACTATAACTACAAGCCATTGCGTAATTTGTAAAAAAAATGCGAAATAAAAAATCCAGTCACATAAAAAGAAAAAAGAAAATTGTATGAGACATCTTAAAAAAAAAATGGGAACGTGCAAGGAAACAAACAAGAACAATCATCACAATAAACAGAACAATACCTAAAGGTCGTCCCTCTTTAACGTCATAAAAACGTTCACTGCACTATTACACCCCCTTGCACCCCTTCCTAATGAAATCAGACTTTCTGAAAATCGCGAGTTCTTGTTTTTAAACAACCATAAAATGGGTCAAAAGTTAGTTCCGTCCCAGACCTGTTACGGCCTCCACGAGCCCCCAGCAGTGTAATCAACTGATCTATAAATCAAGACAGCTGTTGACTTCTTCTCTATTTGAACAACACCTCAACTAGACACGAACCTACTTTATTTTTTAACGCAAACATCTTTTTTTTTTTTAAAAAAAAACCCGCCACATTTTAAAGGGGCTATATTTAGACTCTGCGAAGCCTTTCCTTCTTTATAAAAAAAAAAAAAAAAATAAAATAAACCTTGCAATAACCAATTTTAAAAATTAGTTTTAAAATTACACTGAACGTTGTTACAATACGTGAAAGCATGTTATAATTTATATTTTTGTATTTTTTTATAAATATAAGCTAAACGTATAAATGTAAAAAAAAAAAAGCTCAACACTTTATTGACACATGATGTATGATGCTTATGATGCCACGTTCATTATTTTGTTTTGTTTTTTTTAGGTGAATTCTGTAGTCTCGGATTACGTGGCTCCCAACTTTAAAGCCTAAGAACCCCTCCAAACGCGTTCTAGATTCTGAACCCTTTGACACCCCTTACCCCCCCCCCCGCCCCTCTCTCGATCAGACACCGATAGACATCACTTATCATCTACTTATCTTCATCGAGTATCTCCAAATCTTCAAGTTTCCGGCACCCTCCGTGCGAACACCATCTTGCTATAATAGATCAGTAAAGGAGGTGTAGGAGAAGGAGACACACTCAACAACGACATGTCAGACATGCCCCACGTCCCGAGTGTTGGCTTCAGCGCAACCGAAAACTGTCATGATCATACCGCGGTGTCAGTCGCCAGTCGTCATCCGTTTTAAAAAAAAAAAAAAAAAAGAGATCCTTAATGAATGTATCTCACGTTAATGTTTGTTTCTGCGCTCTGAGGGAATTCCATTTCCAATTGACCCGGAATGCTTCCGACGTCAGCGTTTATAGCTTTAGCTTCCCGGGGCGGTGCATAATGTGATAGGAATAGTAAGTGGCATAGCGGTTTTTGTTCTCTTCCAGAAATGTGTGCTCTCTTAATGTTCCATATCACACGTTAACTAATCTCAGAGGTGTCGTTACTTTTTTTTTCTTTCTTTTTTTTATTAGCCAACGTTTAAATCTAGTGAAGATGTTCGTAGCAACTCGATCTCACATGAAAGTACACCTTAAGGGAAATTATTTTTAGATATATAGATGGGGAAATTACATAGAACACAGTTTCTTTTTTTTTTTTTTAATAAGAAATCCGAGAATGGAGAAGGATGGTTTTCATGTCATCTGTGGCGCCCCAACGGTGGTCCAAGGACTATGGGACATGATGATGATGATGATGATGATATCCGAGACACGTTTAGGCAATGACATTTCACACAGTTTTAGGGCAAAAACGTATGTTTTATGTAATGTCTGCTGACACACTTTTCGAATTTACGCCTTACCAATACTTTTGCAGATTTTTGAGACAACAGCTATCTAAAGCAATGTTGGGATATTACATATAAAGTACATTTGTGCTGTCACAGGCAACATTAACTCGAACAATATTTCAGTTTGTGCACTTTTAAGACAAATGCACCGTACACAGATAA